AAGATAAGTTAAGTTATCCTTTTCCTATTTTTGAAAAATAAAATAAAAATATAGTAAATAAAAAATTTATTCTTAGGAATTATTTTGAAAGTTTAATATGCAGAATTTTTACAATTTTATTTTTTAATCAAACTTTAAATAAATTTTTTATTTTTTTAAATTATTTTTTATAATCTAAAAAATTATAAATCATATCAACTGGCAACTTGACTTATTTTCTAGTGAATAAATTCTACTCCTCAAACCGTTGACTTCGTCCCTATGTTATTATTTTATAATAGCTAAAAACTGCTAATTTTACTACTACTAATTATTGATTAAATTTTAAATTTATTCATTTAAAGTGCTTTTTGATTCTTAAGCTTTTTTTAACCTATCATTAAGATCTTTTATTTCTTTAGTATTCTCCTAACCTTAAGCTGAAAGATTTTTGATTTCTTATTCATAGGTTTAAATCTTTGAGTCCTATTGTTATTTATCTTTCTCTAATTAAGTAACTTTAACATTATACTATAATTTTGTTTTTAAAAATTCAAGTCTTTAATTTATTAAATTTTTAATATTCTTTAGTTAATCTTCTGCAATTATCTTTAAAATTTTGATATCTTCATAACCTTAAATTATATCAGAAAATTATTAATAATAAGTAAATATCTATCTGAAATTATTGCTATGTGTAATTATATCATCCTATATTGAAAGACTTTTTGCCAATTGTTCACAAATTTAAATATACTTTGTATACCATTCAAAAGATGAATTGCTACTTAGACCATTGACTAGATCTAATAAGTTTTCCATCTATGTTATTGCTGCCTTCATTTATGAATCAGATAAATATTAAAATTATTTATCAAAATATGTTTGCAAAACATTACCATATTTTTAAATTGTTATTAATATTCTACGTCTTAAATATTCACTTATTATTTGACTTTTAGGTAGTTTTTATAATTTAATTGTAATAGGTTGCATTTATTATATATTTTACCATATCTATTATCGTTTTTAATCATTGAAAACTTTTTGTAATCCATCATAACTTAAAGCTTTTCTCAGTACAAGTATTTAATCAATTGATAATGATATATTAGCAGATTTTAACTCCTCTTAGATTTTTTTTGCAATTTTTCATCAGATAAGTTCTCCATATAACAATTTAACAATAAATTTAATTTTTCAAACTTAATATTTCCTTTTTAGCATAGTTACTTAATAAATTCTTATAGATCTGTTGCTCTATTTGGAAGAGTACTTTCAGTATTTTTTATTACATAAATAATTTTTAAAGGACCTGAAGTAACAATCTTTTGAAAGAAAAGTTCAAATAATAATTGATCCTAATCTCCATTTGTGTCTTAAAATCCAGGAAAATCAATAATTAAATGATTATTTTATTTATTATGATAAAAATTTGGTTCTTTTGTGATAGAATTCGTGCCTGTAGCCATTTTAGAATAATGATTTTAGGGATTCTTTATTTCTAATTCAACCTTATCATTATTAAATGAAAAATCTGCTCCACTTAAGAAATTGAAAATAGTACTTTTACCAGATCCTGTTACTCCTATTAACAAAACAACTGACATTTTTTATTTTTTATTCATATTAAATTCATCAAATAATCTTTAAGCATTCCCAATTATTTTCATTAGAATCGATTCCTTCACTTTGTCTTCCTATTCTTATTTTTGATCTTAACTATTCATTTATTGATATTAGCTATACGATTATTAGGATTAATATTGATTTCTATTCTACAATAATTAAGATGGTTTGGGATAATTATAAAGCATTAAATTTGAAGTATCACATATATTGGAGTTATTTTGACTTTTTTCATTTGATTTTTGTTAGAAAGTATATTATTTTTGGCCAAACATTATTATTTTGATAATTAATATAATATTTATTTTTTTTTCAATAGTATATTTTCCTTAATTCTATTAAATATTTAATAGAATTACAATACTATTATTTTATTATTAACTCGATATTAATTATAAAACATATAAATTATTATATAAACCAGTAGTAACACCTCAATTAAATCATTTACTACATTATACTTCCATCATTAATATTTATTATTTAAAGTTAGATAATAATTTAATATATCTTTACTATATTATTATGTAGTAAATTATTTATTAAATTATATAAACTAATTATTGGTCTGCAATCAATGTTTGATCACTTTTAACTAAATCATATAAAATGATTTTAAACATTTTTGTTCAATTTATGTATATTACTATTTGGATAGAAAACAGATAATTATTTTTTAATAAACTATTATTGAAATTAGCCTAATATATAAATTTATGATTTTCGAAGAAGTTACTATTTGCTTTAACCCCTTTAAAGAGTTCAAAAATAATTTTTTAAGCAAAATCTAAATTTATCAGTTGGATAAACCCTAATTATAGTTACTTAGTTATCAAATAAAATTTTCAGATATCTTGATTAAAACTTAACATTTCTTTTAGAGGATCTATTTAAATTGTTTATTTAAAAAAAATAGACATTTTAATTAGATAAATAATTATATTGCTAGAATATCTTATTTGTATATAAGTATCAATTGAAATGGTTATTAAAATATTTGAACTACAAATTCATAACTACAATATAAACTTGTGTTTATTTAAAATATAAATAATAATGATAGTTTCAAATAGTAATAGAGTTGTAAAATATATTGATGATCATACAATCTGCCTTCTACGTGCATTATCTTCTGATAATACAGCTAATTTAGTTTATAAATTTCTTATCTTTTATTTGTATCCATTTAGTGCCCCTTCATTCTTTCAGTTTCTTATGATTATAATTAATCTATTTTTTATTTGAATCTAAATAGTAATTCTTCAGATGCACTTAGCTAATCTTGTAATTTATCACTTAATAATTTTAATTGCTCATTTTCATTTAGTATAAAATTAATCTTTTCATCAATATCACCTAAATTATTCAAATCATCTTGATTGTATTTTAATTATTCAGTTAATTCAGCATTTCTCTCTAACAATTATTTAATATGTTCTTCCTAAGCTATAATAGTCTCCTTTTTATTCTCAATTTATTAATCCTTATAATCTAATTCTTTTAGAACTGCTTAATATTTAGTCTCTGTTAAGATTTTATCCATTCAGATTTTCTGATACAGTATATTAATTTGAGAGATAAATAGTAGATAATAAACTTTTAGATTGTATATATGAATATATTAAGTTTATATCAATTATTCTTTAATTATAGCGACTTCATCTCTTAATTGAGATAATTTCAGTTTATCACTTGATTTTTGTTTCTAGTATCTTGATTCCTTTGTTAGAAACTATTTAATGAGTTCTGCTGATTTCTCATTCTCTTCAAGTAGAACTATAATCTTTTTAACTAAATCGACTCTTTATTAATTTGGAGAGAGGTTCTCTTTGTTTTTGGGTGATTACCAAGTGGCATACTTGCAATCAGTATCATTGATTTAAGATTTAATAGATTTAGAAATATTTGAAATAACAATACTGACAGAGCGAACCTATTAAAATGGATTTCTTAAAAGGGCTGGCCCTTAAACTTTTGAAGGAGAACACACATTCATTAACGGTATATTCATTTTTATTCTTACCTAATTATATATTGTATATACAACTATTGAGTGATTATATTTATTTATGATTGAACTTCCAATTCTGGGAGATAAAGTATAGTAATATCAGTATATTCATTTTAAGACACTTAAACACAAGAATACTTTGAAGAATTCAATGAACTGTATGAATTAAGAGTCTATTATTATGAAGAAGACAATAATTTTATAATTAAGATCCTACGCATAGTGAGTCTTGGACAAGATTCACTTTTCGAAAAATGGTTTGTTTAGGTGTCATTGTTAAGGTAGTTTGAATTTGTATTATATTTAGCTTTTAGAAGAGTGTAAATCCTTCTCATTTATTAATTTAGAAGATGAAAGATGGTAAACAAATGTGCAAAGATAAAATCATTAAATGCAAAAGAGATGGAGATAGGATTAAATTTAAGTATGAATACATAAACTTTTTGATCACTCCTTAAAATTAATTGAAAAAGTTAGAATTGATCAATTATGATTATAATGAATAAAGTAAATACGAACAAAGGTAAATTTTATATTCTACCATAACAACATAAATGTAATAATATTCATAATTACTTTCAGTATAGAAGAAATTGAATAAATGAATTATTAGGTGGCATTAACAGGAGATTCTTGGGAATATGTTGATAAAGTATTAGTTAATATTATTTTTGAGTATCCTTGAAAAAACTAGGGTTTTTGCCAGAATGAAGCCTTCCTAGAATGGTAATCTTATGCTAAAATTTAAGAATTTGAACAAAGGAATATTTACTGCTTTTATTGGCGATGGTTGTAATGATATTTGTGCTCTTTAATAAAGTGACATTGGTTTAGCTTTATCTAATTAAGAAGCATCTTTGGCTGCTCTATTTTTTACACCAATTATTAGAGTTTCATAAATTATAGAGATTTTAAAAGTAGGAAGATGTGCTCTTATCACCAGTCAATCTTGTTTTAAATTCATGACTCTTTATTCTAGTATTTAAACTATTACATTGACAATATGTTATATTAGTAATACTAATCTAACTGTAGAGTAATTTTTATATTAGGATCTTTGGATTATTATTCCAATTGCATTCACAATGAGTTTAACAAAACCATCTGAGACATTAACAAATACATTAGCCATTTGTAAGTTTGTTGAATAGAAATCTAAATTTCCACT